TGATGCCCTATATAAAAGATATTAAAATACAGTTTTAAAAAAAAAACAAATATAATGACGTATTTTTTAATCATAAATATTATAATGGAAATAAATGAAATATATAAAATAATATCATATATTTTAAATATATTATTTTTGCTTAATTATTTTTATTAGATAAGTATAATAAATGAATTCTTTTATTTATTTCAATAGATAACAATAGAAATTTTGGTATAATATCATATATATTATAATACATATATATCATATTTATTTATAGAATTTCTTCTCTAGAGAAAATATCAAAATATAAATTGTTAAAACAAATAATCTTTTTTAAATTATAATATTTATAATAAGTAAATCCAAATAAATAATTCAAAATAATTGTCTTAATGAAATATTTGAAATTTATCTATTAAAATTGATTTGTTTATTTTTTAATTTTGAATAATACATAATAAATATAATAAACTATCGAAAGAGATGTATCCTGTAATATATTGTTATAATACATAATACATAATAATACATAATAAATATAATAAACTATCGAAAGAGATGTATCCTATAATATATTGTTATCGAGTATAATCATTTAACTAGCAGTTCCGTGTAGATAGTAACACAATATGGCAAGCATGAATTTACCTATATATATCATATATACATATAACCGTATAATAGAGACATAGTATTTATGTAACGTATGTTTGCATGTGTGTGGAACGCGCAGTTTCATGATATAAAAGTAAATTAATCGATTCAATAAATTTTATCAAAATAATATTAGAATATGTGTATAATTTTAAAGAATAAAAGAAATTTTGAATGTTAATAACAAAAAGAATAAGAATTAGTAGATTTTGATTTATATGTCTGTTCTATAGGTGAAATGTGTAATTTCCGTTGTAAGTATAGAAACAAAAAAATCATCGCTTTCAATTTAATCATAATAATTAACAAAACAATTAAATTATCATATGACATACAATTTTTATGAATAAAATGATTCTATACGTCAAAATTATCGGATTGATCAAATTGTATGTCGTACTTTTAGGTTAAATAATTCTATACAGTACAATATAATTGACTATATTCAATCTTGTAAAACATGATTTTTTTGCTTTTTGTATTATAATCAGATTGTTTATACATAACATAAATAAATAAATTAATTTCACTTCTAGAATAAATCATAGCAAATGGAAGATTTTAAAGTGAAAGATGAACCAATGGATGCGTTAAACATAGACAGTCAGGTTATGGTAAACGTTTTCTATGAAACAGCAGCACCATACAATACAATGCTTCCACAAGGACTCTAACTTAAACCTTACTTTAAGGACGAAAACATTGTAAGCGTTGTACTTAAGGAAGAACCCGGCGATAGATTTGATCCAGACTACATGGAGGACATCTGTTCTGGGACATTCGAGAAGGTATTTTTACCTATCGAAAATAATGAAGTTGACTTCTCTAATGAAATGGTAAATTTTATATAAAATTATTAATGATTAAACTTTGTTTATAAAAAAATCAATTTATTAACAAAACATTTTAGGTAAAACTCGAATTAGATGGGGAATCCAGTAGTCATCAAAATTGGACAGCACAAATTGCAAATACAAATTTGTGTGATAAAGAAGATGGTGCTATGCAAAGGTGCTTAACAAATGCAAATTTTGCTCAAGTACATGATATAGAAAAACATTCTGGATTTTGTCCAAATGGACAGCAACCAAAATTTTATAAAATACAATGTTCAATTTGCAAAAAATGGTTTTTAAATAATGATTCTATGGTTACTCACCTGAGAATGCACTGTAGTGGAAATCAGTGTGAGGTTTGTCAACAAAATTTTCAGGATAATTCCAGTTTACATGCTCATATGCTGACTCATGTTGGGATGAGTCCATTGGAATGCAATATTTGTCAAAAACGATTTGCTTACAAATGGTGTTTACGTAGTCATATGCAAATGCATGTATTAGAAAAACCATATGACAATGATGCATTGCAACACGCATTTATAAAAAGACCTGATTCTGAGCATGACCAATCTATGAGTACAGAAGAAAGAGTATTTGAATGTGATGTTTGTCATGCGACATTTAAAGAAAAATCTAGTCTGAATCGGCATGTGATTACTCATACAGAGGAAAGACCATATAAATGCGATGTATGTTTTGCAGCATTTAGGGAAAAAGCAAAATTGAATATGCATATGGTGTTACATGGAAACAAACAATTTAAGTGTACAATGTGTCATAGATCATTTACACAAAAAACAGCATTGAACAACCATATGTTAGCACATAGTGGTGAGAAACCACATGCATGTAATATTTGTGAAAAAACATATAAACGAAAATCAGAATTAATAAGACATACTATGGTTCATACTGGTGAAAGGCCATATGAATGTAAAGAATGTCTAATGACTTTTCGAGAAAAAGCAAAATTAAATTCTCATATGCTTGTGCACACAGGTGAAAAACCACATGAATGTCATATATGTCATAAGGCATGTGCCCGCAAATCCGATCTTAATAGTCATATGCTATTACATACAGGGGGCCAATATGATTGCAAAGTTTGCGATAAAATATTTACTCGTAAGTCGGATTTGAATCGACATACTTTGATACATACAGGCGAAAAGCCATTTGCTTGTGAATTATGCGACATGGCCTTCAGAGAAAAAACTAGATTAAATTCTCATATGCTTATACATACTGGCGATAAACGACATGCCTGTCACATTTGTCAAAAAACATTCAAAGAGAAGTCTTCATTGCGAAAACATATGTTAAGTCATACTGGTGATAGACCATATGAATGCTATGTATGCCATAAAGCATTTACTCAAAAAACAACATTAAATAGTCATATATTAGTACATGCAGGAGAACGACCGTACGAATGTAGTGCATGTCAAAAAATATTTAAAGATAAAGCAACATTGAAAAAACATTTGTCTGTGCATATAAATGAAAAAACTCATGAATGTTTAATTTGTTTAAAAAAATTTGCCCATAAAGCTGCGTTAAATAGTCATTTATCCACAAATCATACATCCTAAATAGGGTGATCTAGTCTATTATGTTTCAGCTTTTAGTTTTTTTATTAAGCATTGTTCGTCTATAGCTGCGTAAAGATGATTACATACATCCGTTTTATATGCTCATTGGCCCAAACAATCATATTCTTTCTGTATATCTTTATGTATAATAAATTAATTTCTAATTAATTTTTTATGGTTTCTTTTTTTAATATTTCTATACATATTTAATAAAATGCATGTACTTTTTATAAGTCATTAGATATCTGGACATTTATTACATATTGATAACAAATGTTTTTTTATGATTATTATTATTAATATAATAATAATTATAGTAAACATTTTACATATCATACATATCATTTTAATTTTTTCATGTTAAATGTTATCATTCATTTAATAACATAACGCCTGAATAATCTATAGTCAATCAGATCATCAATACATTCATTTTATTACATGTACTTTAATAAAAATGTAATGATATATTGACATTTTTTTATACCGCTTCAATAGTAATGTTTTGATGAACAAATCTACTATTTATATAATATAAACAACAAGATGTTTACATTTTTTATTTTATTATGAAATATATATCTATAATGTTTTGTTTATGTGTATACAAGTGAAAAATATTGAGCCAAAAATATTATACTATTAAATGGATGATATTGGATTGTTTATTATGTATTTTGATTCAATATCGTTTATAATATTCAGAAAGATAATGTTCTTAATTTAAAAGATTTTATATGCATACATAAATCGAAGATTATTATTTTTAATGATAAAATGTTATTTTATTTCATGGTTTCCACGTTATTCTGTTAAAAAAAATTCCCTAGAATGGTAATATAATTTTTTTTATATTACTACAATATAGCTTTCCTATTTTACTATAAGAAAGTCAATAACAATCCAACTCCAAATATATACATATTTGTACATTATATGCTTATAAATATTATACATTAATTATTATATATTAATTTTTCTCTTTATTATTGTTTGTTATAATATGATTGTTTTTTGATTATAAACAAAAATAATTATTTCATAAAAAAATTATTTTTAAATCTATTTAAGAAAATTGTTTTCTGCAAAATTATAAATGGTGAAATAAAACTTTTATAACTTGAAATCAATTAAAAAAACTTTTTAAATGGAATTGTCACAAAATCCTCAGATTTCTTTTGATGAAAGAACAAAAGGATTTGATTTATCAGCTGGCAAAACATGGATTTATCCAGAAAATTATCCTGTCAGAGATTATCAGTTCAATATTGTTCAAGCATGCTTATACAGAAACACATTAGTTTGTTTACCTACTGGTAAATAAAACTACATTTTTTAACATTATATTTAAATAAAAAAAAAAAAATTACAAAAATTAGCAATAATATTTTATTTTTTATTTTTATT